AATTCAAAATAATATATACATTTGTCTTTCCGCACCCCCACCCACCCATTTTTTAAAGAGTGAAATTACAATAACTACAACAACAACAACAACAATAATAATAATAATAATAATAATAATAATAATAATAATAATAATAATAATAATAATAATAATAATAATAATAATAATAATAATAATAATAATAATAATAATAATAATAAATGATATGACGATGACGATCAGGAAGACCACGACAATAATGACGACGATAATGATGATAATGATAACGACAACAGTAATGGCAACAACAGTCACATAGTAGTATGAACAGAAGTAGGCCTATTCTAAGGCCTACTTTAATTTAGCCATATTTTAGTTAGTGAAAATGTCATCATATTTTATTAGGCCAAGTTAAAAAAAAGTAGTTTTTTTTATCTAAATATTTCGAAAAAGGGGAGAATGAAGGCACCTTCTTTTTGAACTCCGAGATTGGAAACGGCTACTACTTTCTCACTTTTACCAGCTAGACACATTGAAAGCAAATAAAAGAAGCACTAGACATGATCCATACCATGTATCCCCAACCACAAACGATCGAGAGAGGAATTTTACTGTGCGAATTAGCCAGATTTACGTACATTTCGTAAAATAAAGAAATATAAAATAATGATTGTTGAGGCAGAGAAAATGGATGCACAAGGGGACGAGCAAATGGTATTTTCTTATTTGGCTTCAGGCCTACAATTAATACCAATAGATAATAAATTACGATAATATAATCCATGGTGGCCAACTACAATATTACCTACTACAAAAACAACGAATTTAAAAATTGGGAGCCATTGGAAACGCCTGCTCAAATCTGGAAGCGAATATCGTAGCACCATCCGTTTAGACGTCTTATCAGGCATTTCCTATTATAAGTCAATTAAGATATCGTAAAGTCTTGTATATAGCATTGCTTTGGCCTACTAGCCTTCACATAGACTACTTATCTAAACATTATGATGATAGTAACAGTCTCTCGAAAGGCGGATTTTTCGCGAGAATTTTTAATCTATTTTCTGATTTCTCTGCACAACGTAGATTCGGATCAAACGGCGTTCTGGAATTCAGACAGCAATGGATAAACAACTATACAATTTAATATGCTTTCTTTTTATTTTATTATTTTAGTTTATCGATTTACATTTTTTACTTTTTTACTAGATTTAATTATTTGTTGAATATATTTATACAGAATGAATCATAACAGGTGGATAGTACTACACTTGTTTCACGACCCAGTGACTCATACAAAAGATAAAATTTATTTAAAATTAACAAGTCACATAGTAGGACAAAAATTGTAAGGGAACTTAACTAAAACAAAACTTAATCTACAAAAGAATAATACAATTAACTTTCTTTGAATACTCAGCTGTCAATGAAACACTATAGGTCAGGTAAAAATGCATGTTAAAAAGCCTAAGAATAAAACAGTAAATCTTAGCTTTTGTTTTTACAACTGATAGCACAAATTGTAACGAATATGAATCAATAAATCTTTAAAATAATCTCAATTGTAATGCATTATTATTTTACTGCATTGTTCATAGTGCATGGTTGTATGACTACCAGATGGTCACGAATATACTCCCTAAAAATGCCTTTATGCTGTATGAAAATAGACACACTTCACAGAACATCTGAATTCATGTTTCTGTGGCTCTCTGAGTCGGCGTCATTCAAAAAAAGTTTAGACCAATAAGGATGTTTGGCCTCTGCAGACTTTTGTACATGGTGGCACACTTACTGCTGTGCAACCAATAACAATGCGAACAGCAAAAATGAAATACGAACATCCCATGCAAATAAAAGTCGTCTGGGGTTGAGTTCTCTTAAATACTCAGAGGTCCAGTCCGTTTTCCTCTTGCCCCAAGTTACCAATTTCTTATCTTTATTATC